ACAATATTAAGAAACCCCTAGTTTCTGTCCCCAATTTTCTACCCCCATGATCTTACCCTAAGGTAGGCAAAATATTATCGTTACAGCTGCAGACTAAGGTCTGATCTTGTAAAAAATGTTTTCATGTCCATGAATGTTTTCCTTGCTTGTTCGATTCTTGATAGGATTTCTTATTTTGAATTACACTAACTATTTATATTTGCTCCCAAATATTTTATAGAATTTACCTGTAATTACAGTATTTATCTAAATCTAATTACAAGTTCGTTAAATATTACAAACCTAAATAGCATTCTATAAGAGTCAGTTGTACTTCAACTAACAACTCGTTATAACTATTTTATTTGCATTTGAAGAAATCCTTATGTCTCATTTAACGTAATGATTGGTTTATCAGTGGGACTCCACTTAAAATTTACTCAACAATGAAGAAAACGTAAATAAGCAACATCTGCAGTATACAATAAAATTAGCTTATCATTGTTAAAACACAAAATGTTAATTATGGATTTAAAAGAAATCACTTTATTACGTTAACCATGTTTAAATAAGCAAAGAAACAATTTTGTTCAGATGCTGAAACATTGATCACGGTGTAGAAAGCATTGAAAATCAAATATGTTTTAGAAATTAAACTAAATTTTACTTTAAATTAGTCAATAAATGTTTATCTAATGTATTTAATATTTTAATAAAAACTTTTCTTAACATAAATCTTAAACTTAAAATAATCTTTTTTTGAATTTCGCCTGTGTCGTTTATAATTATATAGCATTTTTCATATAAAAAAGCTTGCACGTCATTTAAGATTTACGTCGTCAGAACCCCACAGCGTTGCCAGAACATTAGAATAGTTATTGTTCTGAAGCTATTTTCTTGCGGCATTTTAAATTAATTACTATTTAGCTGGGAATAAGCCACAATTAAAGATAAAAATACGTTTATTGACGTTTCAATTTCCACTTCGGAAATCGTTCTCAAAATACAAACAGTAAATTAAACAAATTTTGTTTTTGTTACATAGTGAAAAATTCTTCTAATAATTTAGTTTTATCTGACTCATTTATATTGACAATTCAGACATACATTATGAATTTTAATGTAGACGACTTTAAAATGATATTGCCAATATTGTTGAGTTGCGCTCCTGGGACGACTTTACTTATAAGATAGTTCATTCGATTATATGAAATCAACTTTAACTTGAGAATATCCGTCAGAAAAAAAATCATAGCATATAATTCGTCTTTAAAAAGACAAACACATGACATGATGACAGTAAAATTCTCCTGTTAGTGATTCCATAGTAAATTATGAGGGAAAAACCAGGAAAAAAACCTCATAATACTATCCCGACATGGTAAGTATTTGTTCGTGCATTTAGTTTACCTTCAATAAATACCAAAATTCTGATTTTATATGTTTTGTTATTTAAAAAACATAAATGATGTATCCTCTATATGTTACTGACTTACTAATACTGGTATTTTCTTATTAAAACTTCCTCTTTCAATATTGGTAACCAGATCCCACTACATTCTGCCGAGGAATTTGCGACACAATTGGCCTAATTTAGCATAATTAAAGCCACTTCTTTGATTTTTCTTTTTTTACCATCCGTCTCTTTTAGGACTACATTTGAATTATTCGATTGAACCCTATGTTCATTATCCTATGCGTGTTTACATATTTGAGATCTATCAAATTCTCTATTTTTAATATAAGACTGATGTTCACTTATTCTAACATTTAATGGCCTTGATGTTTCACCTAAATAAAATTGATCGTATTCACAAGGTATTTTATAAATGCAATTCTTTGTCCTTTCTTGTTCATTGTTAGGTTTGGTTTTGGACAAAATAGATCTCAACGTGTTTGTTGATTTGAATGTTGTTGAAATGTTAAATTTATTGCATATCCTTTTAAGTTTTTCTGATAATCCTTTTATGTACGGTATTTATAATTTATTATAAATATTATAAATATTATATATTTATTTATAATATTGAGAACGATTTCCGAAGTGGAAATTGAAACGTCAATAAACGTATTTTTATCTTTAATTGTGGCTTATTCCCAGCTAAATAGTAATTAATCAGAATAGTTAGTAAGTGAGGAATTTTTAAAATGTCAACCATTTGTCAAACTATTAGGTATATTAACAGTAAATACAATTAGTTTTAAGACTACTGCAACAGATTAAACTACATAAGAAAACAATTTAATACAAAATTATATATTCTAAATTTTAAACTTATCTCTTTAGGGCTTCAATAGTAAAAACGTCCCGCCATTATTTCTTGTTCAAAATAATCTATTTTATAAGAAAGCTTATCAGCTTTCTACAGGCTATTTATTTGTTTTGGCGTATCACAATCACCACAATAATTAGTTTTTAAAGCTATTAGTCTAAATTTAATATGTATTTATAAATACAATTTATTAATATATATTATATTATAATCAAATTGTGTAAGAAATCAAAACATAAACAAAATTCCTATTCTAAAAAGCTGGCAACACTTTATACACTTTTGCCACACGCTTAACTGTCAATAAAATTTGAAGTATTTCCGTATCAGATGTGTAAAATTGTCTAATATATTTAATTAAATTTATTATTTTGTGGAATATTAGACTTAAAGAGTTATTTCATAAAATTTATACTATTAATAATAACAAATGTTTTTTGGTTATTTAATCAATGTAATTCTAAAATTTTTAATATATTCGTCTTTCCATCTGGGGAGACCCACGTACCTTTGTATATCTCTTTTCGTTTTAGTTGTGTTCTTCTCATCATCATGTTTTTCTCCATGGCAAATCCAATAAGTCTTTGACCATTATCGTTGGTTACTTCGTGTTTACTATAATTACCAGTTACTGCAGTGTACAGAGGTTCTTTTCCCACTTTAGCTTTACAATCACCCATTATTATTTTTACATCACGTTTAGGTAGGCACTCGTATTCATCATTTAGCTGCTCATAGTGAAGATCTTTTATTTCGTCGTTCTGGTCTTCTGACGGTGCATGAATATTAGTTATACTCTAATTTCTTTTCTTACTTTTAATTCGTGTTGAACACATCCTATCAGAGATAGGATTAAAAGCTATCACTTTGTCCTTAATACGTTCAGCTTCGAAGAGCACCATATCTTCTATATCAGTTATTTCCGATCCTAATTGTTTTGTCTCTTGAAGAATCATTAAATCGATTTTATACTTCCGTGACTCATTCATTAGTTCTTTTAGCGCACCTCAATAAAAGATTCCTCTGACATTCCATGTAGCTAAATGTATCTTGTCATTATTCGGCTTCACCTTTGTATTACTGTCTTGTTTTGTTTTGTTTTCATAGTTCTTCTTCGCAATATTCGTCTTCATTTCTTTCCTTTTTATGCTGGTGCTTAGTTTTTGCTTTGGTCTCTACCACCAACGTTTGGTTCATGATTTCCTGATCGGAATATATTTTCTTATATCCTACTTTCACTTTTCTCCCTTTCTTAGATCTTGCGCTTTCTGTCTGACATATTTCTGTACAATTATATCCTTCTTTCACAGGTCATCATTGATATAAACTAGACTTTTTCTTCGGTTTCTTAATTTGATTTTGTTTCGCATGACTTTTCTTTTGTCCTCTTCGACAACATCGTAACGTAACATCGACTGCTAATTCTACCAGCATAAAATTTTTTATTTCATGTTTTAGAGTCTCTGGCACATTTGTATCTGTGATCAGACCTTATATAACTATATTTTTACGCTTTTTCCGTTTTCCATTTTTAACATGTACGAACCAGATTAATTGTTTTCTTTCGTTATCATTGATATTTCGCTCCATTTTCATTTCGTTTCTTATTTGTTCGTTTCTAACTCTCTCCAGTTTCGATCTACCGCAGCTTCGTCTCAGATAATCCATTTCTGTCGTCTTCAGTTTGTTTCTATTAGCTTTGGTGACGTCCCATACTTCCGAACCCATACTACCATAAATGTGTTTTATTTTTGGTTTCCCGTCGACTTGTTTTTTGCCAGAGAAGAGAGTTTAAGGCACGGGTCGCTGCTCTGCTCTTGTTTATTCTTTCCCTGATTTCATCTGCGTTATTTCCCTTCTTGTTGAAAATGACCCCCAAATATTTGCAGGATTGCACGCCTTTGATTTTCGTCTTCCAAGACTAGATCACATATTTCATCTGTTCCCACTGAGAGATATTCACATTTTGTCATATTAATGTTTAGACCTGCCACTTCATATTCTTCTTGCAGTTTGCTTACCATATAGCTAAGATCGTAGCTGTCTTCGGCAATTACTACCTGGTCATCCGCAAAGAAAAGTGTATATAGCGTGTTTTTTTCCACCGTCATTCCCATGTTTCTACATTGTCTCACCCATTTTACTAAGAATCTCTCCAAATAGGTTTTAAATAAAGTGACAAACAGCAGCCTTGTCTTAGTCTCTTTGTTGTTTGAAAAGGAGAGGTGATTTCTTCCTATTTTAATTCTTGCAAAGTTTTGTTCGTAGTATTTTTCTCAAAGCGTTCTTAAAAGTAAAAATTCTTGACAATAATTTTGATTCGCAGTTTATTAGTGTGAATTAATTATATGGGAAAATATTAAGAGTATTCCCTCGTCCTAAGTGCCTTCTCTATTGAGGTTGGTGATCAATATGTCAAATTTCTCTCTGTTCTGGGCTTGATGGATTAAGTCATTTCCTGTTGTGTGAGTCCAATCTCTGATGTTTCGGAGCCAGGATTTCTTCTTTATTCCTATACCCCTTTTACCCTTGATTTTGCCTTCTAATATTACCTGGAGCTGCTCAAATTCCTTATGGCGCATTATGTGTCCTAGATATGACGTTTTTCTAATTTTGATTGTTGATTAAGAATATTATAGACTCATAATTTTATGTCTATAATTCATTTGCCATTAATAATTTCCCCTTTAACTAAATCATTTAATACTTAAAGTTGAGCAAATGGTAGCTGCTTTTTACAAATTTTAGGTATTTCGTGCAGAACAAAGATGCAAGGCAGGACGTTCAATACTTTGCTGATGATTGGGGCTACCATCCTGCCGTAGAATATGCTAACGTTGGACCACACAGCAAAGCCAGCGCAAAATTTGCTCTTGGACATGAAGCCGTAGTCCAACTAAGGAATAAAGAGGTAATTTTTTTGTTCAATATAAATATCTATTTTACATTGCCTGCAATCTGTTATCTTTGTTTAAGGGTTAATATATATAAAGCTGTGACTGACCTTATTAATTCTTCTTTACTATTGTGTTTATTGTTTATTCACATTGCATTTGCTTTTTACATAGTATTTTATTTTATAAATTTATTCCGAAATGGGTAAATCGTTCATAAAAATCGTTCATCGTAAAAATGAAGAGTCCATTCATTAAAATATACGCGTAAATCGTTAAGACGGTTATATCTGTGTAACTTTTGAGTTCGTCATATTTATGACGCTAAATAGTCGTACATTTATTTACTCGAATGGTTATAGAATTCTGACTTGTTTTCTGATAACCTTCAGTCAGCGTTTTCCTTATAAAAATATTCTTATATTTAAAGATTTTTTTCCTGGTTACCCTATACACATCTTGTGCATTCCATCGTAAGATATTATTCGTACATCTATTATTGATGCTGCTGTTCTAATCAGTCCAAGTACACTAGTTCATGAGATTGTTCGATAAAAAATTACTTCTTCCAGGCATTCTCATTCCTTGTATTTCTACAAGGTTTAACATTTCTAAATAGATTAACTGATTATTCTCAGTACTCTACTATGGAGCCGTATTTTAAAGGCTTTCAATAAATCTTTAATATCTGTTTTTAGTATCCAAGTTTCCATTCCATAGAATAATTCATACAAATCATAACATCTTATTAGTCTTATAGTTAAGCCCACTGTGATGGACTTTTTTCATTTTGTAGAATGAATTTCTCATTGCCTGTAGTATTCCGTTGCTTTGCTTGCGTTGCTTTATGATTACCATGAACATAATTTTTATGGTAAGAAATAACACGTTTTTTTTGCTGTCATAAAGTTGTTGTAGATAAGATAGACGTTACTGTTATCATCGATAGTATATATTCATATACAAATTATGATTTTTGGCATATATATGATACTAGTGACATTATTGTAACATGAAGTGCAATTGTGTCACCTTTATGGTGTGACCGTAATCCACCTGGCCTTTCCGTATATAACCATAAGCCCCTATGAGTCCGACACCATTTGAGGGTAGCACGTTTCTGTTGCAGCGTGGGGTTCCACCCTCCCCATAGGCCCTGTTTTGCTACACGAACACCATCCTTTTATTCCCAATTACAGGCGGAGTTAGGGATAAGGTCTCAACCTAGCATGTTTGACGGATTGCCGCCGAAGAGCCAACTCTTTATCACTCGTCACCAGGGAATGTGTACGTACCGCAAACTCGCGATCTTATTGGGAAAAGACGTGTAGAGTTTGCAGTTAGTTTAACCTCACTTTGTTAAAATTGAATGTTAAAACGCCCTGCGTTTATCCCTGTGACATGCAGCGAGGAGTCTTAAGGCCGTATGACACTATGCATTTTCTTGTATCATTTCTTATATCGTTTCTGATATAACAAAAAAATGGATAGTGTCATACAGGCGTATAGTTTCTTATATCAGAAACGATACAAGAATTTGTGTCCGCTGCATTTTCTTGTACAAGAAATGCGCCAATTTGTGCGCAAAGCCGCTAAAACGTAAAACTTTTTTCATGTCATATTGGCGGATGGAGGCATAGAGAAATAAAAATAATTATTATTTTTATTTCTCTATGGCTGGAGGAGAACTTTGATATATACCAGAGATATGTAAGTATCTCTGATGTATACATACAATTAGGCCAAGCAGACATCAGAGAAAAGTGCCCACCAACAATAACCAAGATTAGAACATCAGTAGCCATATTGAAAAACAATAAATCACAGTGATTGTATCAAATAGCATCGGAACTACTGAAAGTAGGAGGAGATGTTTTACTAAAAACAATACATAACCGCACTAAAAATTCGTGATGAGTTTAAAGATTATTTTATATCTCCAAATAAGAGAGTAGAGTTTCAAGAGCATACCATTCAAACACATAATTTAAAAAAAACAAATAAATTATTACAACCAAATTATTTATTATTTCTGTCTTCCATTACAACCTGTTGAATATCTTCAAAAATTGTGGTTTCCAATTTAGTTTTCATATTGGGACATTTTATTTCTTTCATTTTTGCACCACAGTATTTTTAAAAATAATCAGTAGCATATGTTCTCAGTCCCCAGTAGCTTGGGGTCCTCAGGCCCTTGTTCGGTGCCTCAGGTACTGCAGTTCTATTTTTATAGGTGTCAAAATTTCGACCAATCATGTGCCAAATCACATACAGTTTCTGGTAAAAGAACTTGCATAGTGTCATACAGGGCAAAAATGTACGTACAAGAAACGATACAAGAAAACATAAATAACTTTCTATATCAGAAACGATATAAGAAATGATACAAGAAAATGCATAGTGTCATACGGCCTTTAGAAGTACCTATTTTATCACTGCTGCTAGACAGCGCGTTATCGTAATAGGTTTCGTATGTGAGCTCATTTAAAATGTTATTCAATTATCTATTCAGTGGAATAAACATTAACATAATTATTGATAAATAGTGGACAAAAATATTTCATTTTTAAATTAAATTAACTTGCACAAAAAAAATATGTGTGTAATTTATTTAATACAAAATACATTTACTGCTGTTACAAAACAAAAGAAATGTTTATTTAACAAATAAAAATTGTAAAGATAAGCGAATAAATAGTTTCAGGCCACGAATCTTTGAATAATTTGATTCACAAATCAAATAATTTCACTTACCTGTTTAACAAAAAAACGTTAGATAACATATTACAGAAACGTTAAACAAAATATTAAAATTAAAAAGGCAAGATATTATATGAAAGAATCAAGGACTGCGGAAGGTTTTGAAAAAGAATAAACATGGAAGTGTTTTAAAATCCTTCAATAACAGCTCAAATTAGATTTCAAAGATTAAGTTGCCTGGACCATGTAGAGAGAATGAATCTTCGAAGAAATGTTCCGAAAGTAATATCAAGAAAGACATTTAAGGCTAAGGGCAATGGAGGACGGTTTATAGGAGCTAAACGTTAAATATTGGAAGAATATGGAGCGAAATGTCAAACTAAGCGCTAGTTATTTGTTATATTATACAGTGCTATTCAAATAAAACTTTCCACCTTAAATAACTTTGAAACTTACCATTTTTAGCAAAAGCGCAAAAAGACTTTAATAAATATTTGAAGGGGAGAAATTATATCATATTTAAGCTGGCTGGGAAAGGCAACCAGCCTTTACCTGCCTCCCCCGTATCATCCCTTTTTTTTAATTAAATCACTTTAAATTAATCATTTAAAGTTTAGGATGAACTAAGGATACCAAGATTTAGGATACCAAAAATTTTTACAACAATTGTTCAAAATGATTGTCACTTACTTCCATACAATAGTACAATCTGTTTTGAAATTAGAAGCCTTCGAGATGTGGTTATATCGTAGAATGCTCAGAATATCATGGGTTCAACACATTTCAAACAGAGTAGGTCAAGGTGAAGGTGACTTAATAAAGATGATGATAAAAAAGAGAAAACTCGAATATCTGGGGCATATAATGAGAGGATGCAGATACAGGATAATGCAGTTGACACTCAACGGAAAGATCGGCGAAAGAAGAGGAATTGGCAGAAAGAAATACTCATGGCTCCGAAACCTTCGTCAATGGACTGGCTTTTCAGAAGATGAATTATTACCTGCCGCGCAAGATCGAGAACGATATCGGCAAATCGTCATGGAAGCTTCCCACGCCTAAAATTTGGGCACGGTACTCAAAGAAGAAGCAGATTTTAAATTCTTTTCTGACATTACTTAACACGTCCGCATTTAATTTTCGACATTCATCCTCTATGCTTTGTCTTAAATCATCCAGAGATTCTGGTGGAGTAGCATACATTTTTGTTTTTAAATACATCGTAAGAAGGTCCAGGGGTGTTAAATCCGGTGACGCAGATGGCCAATTCATATTGTGTCCTTTTCTACTTATGCAACGAGCGGGAAAAGTTTCGTTTAAAAATTGTCGCTTAGGTAGAGCAAACTGCGGAGGAACTCCAGTATGTTGAATTACAACCAAATCTTCGGAAAGGTTATCATCATTTTCTACTATTGTTCTAATACGATCAACCACTAGCCTAATTTACTTAAGATCCGATGCAGCATTTAAGTTTCCAGTGATAAAGAAAGGTGCGATAATATGATCATCTACGATACAACACTGTATGTTTACCCTTTGAGAATGCTGTCTGTAAAATTCACGAACAATATGTGATTTATTCTCATTTATGTTTGCAATTATGTTTGTTCATCAAGCCATTAATTGAAAATGAGCATTTATTCGAAAAGCCAATATTGCTTAATAATTGAGGATTGTTTGTAAACACATTATTCGAAATGAATTTAGATATGCCCTCCTAACACCTATGCTGCAAAAAAATATTTGAAAAGCGAGGAAGAAGAAGAACATCCTAGCTAAAGAACCTCAGAACCTTATAACCTTATTTAACACAGCATCTGTGCAGTTTTTTCTTGGTGTTGCCGATTATTACATAAAGATTACCATGATTATCGCCAATATTCGTCATGGATAGGTACATCAAAAAGAGAAGAATACTCTCTATTTATCCTTATCCGTTTGGTTACAAAATTTACATTTCCTGAACATTAGCGTTAGGGAGTTCGACCTCCCTTCGGACTAGAAGATAGTCTCTATCCAAACTTACGATAGCAACTCGTAATTGACGATTCCAATTGTAACCTGACAATTCCATTCTCTATCAGCACTGATAGGATATATATATATATATTATATATATATATATATATATATATACATATATATATATATATATATATATATATATATATATAATATATATATATATATATATATATATATATATATATAATATATATAACCATTGTATAAAGTTAGTGAAATGCTGGGGAACTCGTCCTCTCACGAAGTTTATAGAGATATGAGAAATGTTACATAAAAAACAAGAATGTCGTTC